CCCATCATTTCTTTATCCAGTTCAGTTGACAGACATTTGGGTTGATTCTGTACCTTAACTACTGTGAATTGAGCTGCAATAACTATGGGAGTACAGATAACTCTTTGATATGCTGATTTAATTTCCCTTGGGTAAATTCCCAAGAATGGCTGGGTCATATTGTAGATCTATATTCAGATTTTTCAGGTATCTCCATACTGTCTTCCACAGTGACTGTACCATTTTATATTCTGATCAACAGTGGATTATGGTACCTTTTCCCCCACATCCTAGCCAGCATTTGTTGTTGATTTCTGTGTGAAAGCCATTCTAATGGGGGCAAGGTGAAACCTCATTGTGGTTTTGATTTGCAATACCCTGACAGCAAATGATCCTGAGCACTTTTTCATGTGTCTGTTGGCCATTTCAATTTCCTCTTTTGAAAAATGCCTGTTTAACACCTTTGCCAGTTTCTTAAATGGGTTTTTTTGTTTTGTTGTTGAATTTCTTGAGCTCTTTATAAATTCTGATTATTAATCTTTTATCAGTTGCATAGTCTGCAAATAATTTCTCTCATTCTGTCTGCTGCCTCTTGACTTTGCTGTTTCTTCTGCACTGCAGAAGCTTCTCAATTTGATGTAATCCCATTTGTCAATTTTGGTTTTGATTGCCTGTGCCTATGGGGCCTTTTCTAAGAACTATTTGCCTATGCCAATGTCTTGCAGGATTTCCCCAATGTTCTCTAATAATTTGATGATATTGGGTCATAGATTTAGGTCTTTAACACATTTTGAGTGGATTTGTGTGTAAGGTGTAAGGTGCAGGTCTCGCTTCCTACTTCTGCATGTGGAGATCCACTTTCCTCAAGACCATTTGTTGAAGATATTGTCCTTGCTCCAGGCATTGATGGTAGCTCCTTTGTCAAAGATAAGTTGATTGTAGATGCATAGATTGATTTCTGGCATTTCTACTCTGTTCCATTGTTCTATCCATCTATTTTTGTACCAGTACAAGGCTGTTTTGATTATAACTGCCCTATAGCATGTTTTGAAAACTGGTATTATGATGCTTCTGGCTTTGTTTTTGTTGTATATGATTGCTTTAGCTATTCGGGATCTCCTGTGTTTCCATATGAATTTTAGCATTTTTTTTCTAGATCTGAGAAGAATGTCTTTGGTATTTTGATTTGGATTGTATTGAATCTATAAATTGCTTTCAGTAGTATGGACATTTTGATGATATTGATTCTTCCAATCCATGAAAATGGGAGATTTTTCTATTTGTTTGTGTCTTCCTCTATTTCTTTTTGTAATGTTTTGTAATTCTCATCGTAGAGATCTTTGAAATCCTTGATTAAATTTATTTCAAGGTATTTGATTTTTTTCATAGATATTGTGAATGAGATTCAACTTAGAAGTTCTTTCTCAGCCATGATATTGTCTGTGTATACAAAGGCTGATGATTTTTGTGTGTTGATATTATATCCTGCCATGTTACCAAACTCTTCTATGAATTACAATAGACTCTTAATGGAGTTTTTGGATTCCCAATATATGGAAGCATGTCATCTGCAAATAGGAATAGTTTGACTTCCTCCTTCCCAATTGTATCCCTTTGATTTCTTGTTCTTGTTTGATGGCTCTGGCTAAAACTTTCAGAACTATACTGAATAGCAATGGTAAGAGTGGGCACCCTGTCTGGTTCCAGAGCTCACTGGGAATGCTTCCAACTTTTCTCCATTCAATAGGTTGCTGGCCATGGGTTTGTCATAAATTGCCTTAATTGTGTTGAGGAATGTTCCTTATATACTCAATTTGCTTAAAGTTTCATCATGAAAGGGTTGTATTTTATCAAATACTTTCACTGCATCTATTGAGACAACCATATGGCTTTATTTTTCAATTTGTTAATGTGATGTATCACATTGATTGATTTGTGATTGTTGAGCTATTCCTGCATACCTGAGATGAATCTCATTTGGTCTGGGTGAATGATCTTTTGATGTGTTGTTGAATTTGACTGGCTAGTACTTTGTTGAGGATTTTCACATCTGTGCTCATCAGGGAAATTGGTCTGTAGTTCTCTTTATCTATTGTATCTTTTTCATGTTTAGGAATTAAGATGACGCTGGCTTCAAAGAAGGAGTTTGGGAGGATTCCCTCTCTTTAAATTGTTTTGAATAGCTTAAGAAGAATTGGAGTTAGTTCTTCTTTAAATATCTGGTAGAATTCAGCAGTCAAACAATCTGGTCCTCATTTCCAGCTTCATTGCATTGTGATAAGAGAAGATGCATGGTATGATGTCAATGTTTTTAATTTGCTGAACTTGCTTTATGGCCTACCATTTGGTCTATCCTAGAGAAAGTTCTATGTACTGGTAAGAAGAATGTGTATTCTGCAACTGTCAGGTCCCTTTGGTCTATAGTGTCAATTATCTGTGTTGCTTCCTTGCTGATTTTCTGTCTGATTGATCTGTCCATTGCTGAACACGGAATATTGTAGTCCTCCATTACTGTTATATGGGAGCCTATATCTCCCTTTATATTCATTAACATTTATTTTAAGTAGCCAGGTGCCCTATAATTAGGTGTATACAAATTTAATATTGTCACATTTTACTATTTAATTAATCCCTTAACCACTGCACAGTGGATGAAAGGATTGTTGGTGTCTCTTGGACAGACTTTTGAAGAAAAGCCCAAGTGTATGATTTCTGTAGGTAATACCTGACATTGAAATAGATGGAATCATGTTTGCATGCAGTGCATGTTTAAAGATTCAAAAACAGAAAAGCACTGTTCTCTATAGCAGCATTGAGATATAGTTCATTAGAGCTTAAATAAAATCAAGAGAGGTGTAGGTGTCTGGGGATGTCAAGACCCCACTTGGGATGCACACATGCCATACCTGAGTGGCTAGGTCCCAGTTCTGGCACTACTTTCGATTCCCCATTCCTACTCACACACACTCTGAGAGTCAGCAGGTGAACACCCAAGTTCTTGGGTCCTGACACCCAACATGAGAGACCCAGATGCAGTTCCAATATTCACGCTTGGTGACCTCAGCCTGCTGGCTTCTCAGAGAGGAAAGAGCACATGCATTGGCCCAGAGGTGGCCCAGGATCTGTGCCAAACAAGGCCGTCCAATGTGTGCAGAGGGAAGGTGGGCAGGGGGGCAGGTGAGTATAGGTCAGTGTCAGAGGAGGAGCTCTATCCTACCCTGAAAAGGACACAGCCTGGCATGGTTTTGAAGGACAGCAATGCTGGGAGTCCACACTTTGGGCTGCTGGGCATAAAGAAAATCCACACCAGGGAACAGACAAAGGTAACAAGCCTGCCACCCCACCCCTGCCTGCTTCTTGTCCCCCAGCCCTGCCCTCAGGGTGAAGGACAATCTCACGTGGATGGGGGGACCCAGGTCTATACCTGGCCATGACCACTGTAGGGCACTGCAAAGGAAAGACTTCCCCAGAGAAAGCCCCTGAGGCACTTCCCAAAACTCACATTCACTGCCTCTCATGGAAATGCAGGTGACTGGGGCATTGGAACCTGCCTGCCAGCCACCAGCCCATCTGGCTGCTGTGTTTCACCATCAATCTCCCTTCTGGTGCCCAGGGTTGAGGGAACCTGAAGGTGGGACATGGTGAAGCCTCCCAGGACTGTTCCAAGCCACAGCTCCCAGGAAGGGAACACATCGGGAGGAAAGGCCCAGCAGCAGCAAGGTTAAGAGAACCAAGCCTCCTGGGGGCACTCCCAGGCCACCTTTGTGACTCCCAACAGGGCCTGTTTCTTGGGACCTTGTCACTGTGTTGTAGACTTGGGGCAGGTGCACACATGCCAGCAGGACCTGTGTTCCCATTGCACCTCTGACAACAGTAGCCAGGTCACGTATGTGCAGGGAGCTCACACAGAGTGTCTGCGTGTCTGCCCTGGACATGGCTCACAGCCTTAGCCAGTGAGGATCACCATGAACCATTTGTCACTCTTGGGGGTGCCCTTGAGATTTCTCTGAAGTCACTTCTCCCTGTAACTTCCCAGAGGCCCTCCAAGAATGGCCTGACCACCTGCTGAAGCTGGAGCACCCACAGCCCTGATCCTGTGCCAGGAGGAGGCAGAACAGCAAAAGGGCTGTGATCCATCTTGGCGGAGCATCCATGTTACATTCAGATTTGAAAGACAGGGTTTTTAACTAAGAACTCTCTCCCGTCCCCAGAAACATGGAGGAAAAGACAAACCGGCATTGGGGTGTGGTGTGCTCTGTGTCCACAGCTTCATCAGGTGGAGCCCTAGGGGCCCTCTCCTTGGAAGGCAGCCCCTAACCCTCCTTTAAGTTCACTTCCTTTTGCACAGGTACCTTTGGAAGGCCACGATGAGCCAGGTGACCCAGTGTCCTGAACACTTGCAGAGAAACCCCTGGTACACAGCCCCCTCTGTCCTCAGCTGAACCCAGGCCACAGTTGGAATTCCTGCCCAGCTCCCACCTGTTGCTGTCTGAGTCCACACCTGGCCAATCTCACACACTGTGATGTCAGAGTGCTTGGCCTTCGGGTGGGGTCTTGTTCTCCATTGCCAATTCAGGTGCACATTGGTATGGACACTCTCAGCTCTGCCTCCATGCACATCACTAATGACTAGGACCTCCCTGCTTTGTCACAGATCCATGGACCCTCCTTCCTGTGCAGGAGCAACCAAGCAGGTTTGAGCCTGTCCTTCCCCTCCCTATACTCCCTTCCCCTCCACAGCCTCTCCCCACCCACTCATCACAAACACCCTACCACCCCTCACCACCCCCCACACTCCACCATCTACCCCCTCCACCGCCCTTCCCTACCCCACCCACCCCCAGTCAGCTTCTGGGAGCCATCGCTCTCTTCGCAGGTCCAGGAGGTCAGCCTGTGTGTCAGCCCCACAGCAACGAGAGGGGGCTGTCCTTGTCCAGGGGAGATCCATCTGGTAGTCAACTCCATCCAACCATGACAAGGTGCACACCAGGACCCAACACCACACACAACAGTTCCATGGATAAAGCTTAGATTTTTATTGACGAGAAGCACAGAAAAGTCTCAATCAAATGAGAGCCCTCAGGCAGCTCAGCTTGCACACTGAGGCAGGCTACCTGGGGGCCACCTTTCGGCTGCGGGGGCCAGGGCTGCGGGCTGGGGCCGGCAGGCAGCAGGCACGCAGGAGGAATCTGAGGATGCTCCTGCCAATCCTCCTGCCCAGCCCCTGCCGGCCCTTGCTCGGGACAGAGGCCGATGCTGAGGGCCCAGCCTCCTCAGGCTCAGCTGCTGGGACCTCTGGCACCACCAGGTGCTGACTGCTCCCGAGGCTGGGGGTGGAGGGGACAGGCACAGGGACGGGCTCGGGGGCTGGGCTGGCACCAGGGCTCCTCTCCTGTAGCTGTCCAGGGAGGGGAGAGGCAAGCACAGGGGCGGACACTGCAGGATCCACCTCCGGCCTGGGCTTCGGCTCTGACCCCGCCTCCAACTCCAGCTCCGGCTCCAGCTGCAACTTGGACTCCTGCTCCGGCTTCGGCTCCCTGAGGCCCTGAGGCACCAGGGGCTCACAGCTGAGAAGGGCAGGTGCACTGTGGATCTCCCTTGCGGCAGCCTGTGCAAGTGAGCCCCGCAAGACGGCAAGGCTGGGCAGCGAGGCCGCTGCCAGACGATTGCTCTGCCAACGGGGCTGCACCTGCTCCAGGCTCCGGGAGTCCAACTGCAGGGACATCCGCCTGAATCTCCCAGGGCCAGATGGCACTGCTGCTCCAGCGCCCGGCAGCAGACCCAGGCCCGCCAGGTACTCCTGGGCCTCTGGGTCCTCCGGAACCCCCAGGGGCTGCACCAGGGTCACCTCCTCGCCCTCGTTTCCCTCAAACCACCATTGCTGGCGGGCGATTTCCGCTGTAGGCCTGTCGCATGGGTCCATGCTGAGCAGCCAACTCAGGAGCTCTTCCAGGGCCGGGCTGGCCGCACACGGGAGCTCGTAGCTCCCCCTCTGGATGCAGTCCCGCAGCTCCGCCCAGTCTTCCCCATTGAAAGGCATGGCCCCCGCCAGCATGGTGAAGAGGATGACCCCCAGACTCCAAATGTCTGATGCGAATGGATCATATGGCTCCCGCTGGAACTCCTCCGGGGCGCTGTACTCCAGGGTCCCGCGGAAGCCCTGCACCAGCTCACCCTCGGGCAGATGGCAGCTGAGCCCAAAGTCCGCCAGCTTCACGTTGAGCTGAGAGTCCAGCAACAGGTTCTCCAGCTTGAGGTCCCTGTGCGCCACCCGCTGTGCATGGCAGTGGCCCACGGCTGCCAGGATTTGGTCAAACATGACCATGACCTCAGGCTCTGGCAGGCCGCCCCGGCTCATCACGTGCTGGAAGAGGTCGCCCCCGTCCATCAGCTCCATCACCAGGCAGTGGTAATGGCCGACGCGACCCACCTCCAGCAGCTCCACGATATTCGGGTGCCTCAGGAGCTGCATGATGCTGGCCTCTCGCTGTACCCACCTGTTGCTGAAGGGGTCCCTCGCATCTTCCCTGAACAGCTTCACGGCCACCAGCCGCTGGCTGGATGGCTGGCGGGCCAGCAGCACCCTGCTGTAGTTGCCCCTGCCCAGGACTGACAGCAACTGGAGACCAAGCTGATGGCCGGTGACGGCATCCAGGTCCTCACGGCCTTCCAGGCTGGTGTCCCTAACTACACTCTCTGATCTGCTCTGGCTAATATTCCTGTCCATAGACGCTAACTAAGGAGCTACCCTAACTACAATAACTAAGAAAATAAAGGGACAACAAGGGGACTACCTGCTGATCTGACTATAGTGGCACACTAGCTATACTAACTACACTAATCACACACAGTGGCAAGACTAAGTCCTATCTAACCAAAACAGAAAACAAAAACCAGAAAAACTCCAAAAAAACAAACACTAAATAGCTACACTAACACTCAGAGATCTAGCAGCACTTTCTAGCTAAAGATGGGGGAAGCCAAAAATGAAAAAAACTGCGAAAAAAAAGACAAAGTGGGCCAAAAAAATAAATAGGTGGAAAAAAACAAACTAAATCCAAATGGGGGAAAGAAAAAACCAAATAGAACAAGAAAGAAACAAACAAACAAAACAGCACACCAACACCAACCAACACAAGCGCAAGCAAAGATGGGTCCAAGCACACAGGTCACCGAAATAGCTCCCTGGTAAAGCGGACAAAAACCTGGGCCGTGCAGCCGCTTATATAGGCGTGTGGAATTCTGTCATCACAAGGCTCCTTATGAAGTCAGAGCGAGAAATGGACCAATGGCAGTGCAGCAGGGACTTGCACGAATTTCCATTTCATCACAGTTGGTCCTTATGAAGTCAGAGCCAGGCGGGGACCAATCACAGCAACAGCTAATCCTCGGGGGTTTCCTCAACAAGCTTCCACTTAAAAAAAAAAAAAAAAAAAAAGAACTCCAAGATCTTTTGGCTTAGGTTGGTGATACAGATTGATGTTTATTTTTTGAGACAATAAAACATGTAAGATTGGCCGGTGCTGCGGCTCACTAGGCTAATCCTCCACCTAGCAGCGCCGGCACACCGGGTTCTAGTCCCTGTCAGGGAGCCGGATTCTGTCCCGGGTGCCCCTCTTCCAGGCCAGCCCTCTGCTGTGGCCCAGGAGTGCAGTGGAAGATTCCCAAGTGCTTGGGCCCTGCACCCCATGGACCAGGAGAAGCACCTGGCTTCTGGCTTCGAATCAGCGCGGTGCGCCAGCCACGGCGGCCATTGGAGGGTGAACCAACGGTAAAGGAAGACCTTTCTCTCCGTCTCTCTCTCTCTCACTGTCCACTCTGCCTGTCAAAAAAAAAAAAAAAAAGTAAGATGCCCCGATGGCCTTTTCACTTCTCCTTTAAAGTGTGATAAAAAACTGTTGGGTCTTTAAGACCTCCAATTGTCTACACTCAAGATACACGTCCCATTTCCTTGAACCTCTGAATGATAGGTCCCAGAATGATGTTACAACTTCTCTGGCATCCTCATAACCTTGACAAAGTGTTCTGTTGCCCATGACACCATCAGGCACATTATTCAAAACAACAAAGCTGAGATGAAGGGATCTTTCATCATCCTCTCCCCCTAAGATCCTCACCAGATTTCTCGTTAGAACCCCTGGAGGACCAGAAGGCAGCTCTGGGTGGGTATAGTCCAGGTACGGAAGGCCAACCAAGTGTCAGCTGAGAGAGCCGCCGGATTCTCCAAATTGTCCTTAGAAAAGCAGGGAGAAACTGACACGTGTTTGATGTCTCAGTGTTCATGGGCTACTCTCACAAAGTGTCTTGAACGGAGTCCTGGATAAAGAACAGAACTTCATTCCTCAGTGTTTGTTCTGCAGGCTGGAAGCTGAAGGTCAGGGCTCCAGCAGACTCGTTGTCTGGAAAGAGCTCCCTCTCTGCTGCTGCTGTGCCCTCTTCAGAGAGAGATGGGAAGATGGGAAGGCTGGTGGTTTGCTGTGGTTGGTTAAAGCTAAGTACATGTGTGAAAAGTGGTGTTGTCGTCCTTAAAAAAGTACCACACCTTAGTCCAAAACTCCCCAGTAAATTTTAAGGAAAGATCATGGCTTCCTGGGGTGTGCTCAGATGGTGAAAGCACAGACCTCACCCCGTCAAGCCCTTTAGACAGACAGGTAGCCTGCGGCTGACACTGCAGTCCAGCAGGTTAAACCCTGCTACACCAGCATCCCATGTGGGCGCTGATTGAGGTCTGGGTGTTCAACATCCAATCCAGCTCCCTAGTATCATGTCGGGTAAAGCAGCAGATGATGATCCAAGTATTTTGGGAGACCTGGATGGAGTTCAGGACTGTCCTGACCCAGCCATGGTAATTGTGGCTCTTTGGGGAATGAATCAGCTGTTGGTTGATATCTCTCTTTCCCCTTCCCCCACCCTCTGTAACTCTGACTTTCAAATAAATAAATAATTCTCTTGTTTTAGAAAAAAAAGAAACTCATCCTGTGAAAGAGAGTGGAGTCTTGGTCCTGGATTCCCCACCTCTTTATGCTGTAGCATTGACCTTGAAGTTTGAACATGAAGTTTGGAGGGACATGGACAGTTCTCACCACTAGGCCTGCTCTGCATGAAAGGAATCTTTGAGGCTGAACTACAGGACCCTGGACAGGACAGCAAAGCCCAAAAGAAATAAGATCTCTGGGAAGGCTAGTTGTCTGGTATGATCGATTTATGCTGAGTGTATGTGTTGAAACAGTGAACTGTAGCCATAAAACTCCAAGTAGTACATGCTAATCCCATATCAAATACTCTTTAATTTCTTTCATTGATGATTCATAGTTTTAATTGTAGAGAACTTTTACCTCTCTGGTCACATGTATTCCCACCTCTTTTCTTTTTCCTTAGTGTAGCTATTGAACATGGTATTGCTTTCTACTGATTATTGTATGTTGACGTTGCACTCTGACACTATATTTGTCCTCTCAGGTTTTTGGTGGAGTCATTGTGGGTTTTCTATATGTAAGGTCATATCCTTAGCCAAAAGTGGCAATTGGGCCTCCCGCTTTAATTTAGATATCCTTGATTTTTTCTCTTGCTTAATTTCTCTAGCTAGGATTTCCAGTAGAATGTGAAATTAAACTTGAATGATAATAAAAAAGAATCTGCCTTACTTTAGTATCTTTAAACATCAATTTTGATTTTACAATATCTAGAAATATGTTTTCATTTCAAGTTCATTTTTAACCTGAATTTTCCAAAATAGAAATCATTAAAGTTGACTTAAAGATTTTATATATACTAAACATCATAGGGTGACCATAATTTATAGGAGTATTATCTCTGAGATAAGCCAGTAATATGTTTCTTTAAGAAATGCAGAAAGCCACTGCCTGCAGTGCCAGCATCCCATATGGGCACCGGTTCTAGTCCCTGTTGCTCCACTTCCAATCCCGCTCTCTGCTATGGCTGGGAAAGCAGCGGAAGATGGCCCAAGCTCCTGCACACATTTGGGAAGACCCGGAGGAAGCTCCTGGCTCCTGGTTTTAGATTGGCACAGCTTCAGCTGTTGCGGCCAATTGGGGAGTGAAACAGTGGATGGAAGACCTCTCTGCCTCTCCTCTCTCTGTGTAACTCTTTCAGATAAATAAATAAATCTTGCAAAAAAAAAAAAAAAAAGAAATACAGAAAGTGGGGCCAGTGTACTGGCATAGTATGTAAAGCCATTGTTTGCTGGCATCCCATATGGGTGCTGCATTGTGTCATAGCTGCTCCACTTCTGATCCACTTCTGTACCAGCTTTGCAGGTACAGTGTTCTGGGTTGACAGTTGTTTCTGTTTGATAGTATCCCATAAATCTCTAAATCTCTGACACTGTTTCTTAGTTTTCTAATTTCTTCTTAAAAAAAAAAAAAGATTTATTTGTTTCTTTGAAAGTCAGAGTTACACAGAGAGAGAAGGAAAGGCAGAAAAATAGGTCTTCCACCCGCTGATTCACTCCCCAGGTGGCCACAATGGCAAGAGCTGTGCTGATCCGAAGCCAAGAGCCAGGAGCTTCCTCCAGTTCTGCCACACGGGTGCAGGGCCCCAAGGACTTGGGCCATCTTCTACTGCTTTCCCAGGCCATAGCAGAGAGCTGGATTGGAAGTAGAGCAGCTGGGACTCAAACCAGCACCCATATGGGATGCTGGCACTGCAGGCGGCGGCTTTACCCGCTACACCACAGTGCCGGCCCCTCTAATTTCTTCTTTTTTTGGTCTGACTGTAAGTGTTCCAGAAATTTTTCTTCTAACTTGGATATTCTTTCTTCTGCCTCACCAAATCTGTTCTTAAGGTTTTCTACCATATTTTTTATTTGTTCTACTGATTTCTTCATTTCCAATATTTGGTTTTGATTTCTCTTTAAATCAAAATTTCTTTGGAAAAATTTTCATTCATGTCTTGTATGGATTTCTTTAGTTCATGAATTTGTTTCTGATTCCTTCTCAGTAATTCTAGGATCAATTTTTTGAATTCCTTTTCTGGCATTTTGTCAGTCTATTCATCTTCACATTCTAGCTTTGAAGTGGTTTATTCTTGTTTCTTGAATTGCTGCATTTATTATTAGGCATTTGTGGTGATTCTTTCTTTTTTTCCTTGTGATCATTTTTATCTTTGGACTATTCCTCTGTGGCTTAGTGGGGTGTCTGCTCTTTCAGTGAATACCCAGAGTCATATGCTGGGTGTGGTCAGGGAGCTCTGTTCAGTGCTCCAGTACAAGGGAGGTCCAAGGTGACTCCCAATTTGGGTATAGCAAATCTCCTTTTTTTTTTTTTTATCATAAGGGAGATTTGTTCTGCTCTGTTGGCATATTCTCGTGTTTATCTCCTCTCCTCATGGGAGAGCAATGCCTGTGTGGTGGCCCCAGGGGGTACAATTTTCATCCACACTGCCACAAGAACCACACAAATGATCCATACA